ACTATAAAATGTTTCTAAAGAATCATTTATCCAAACATGAGCTATTAACAATTCTTTTATTAACTACTCTAGTCTTTTGTATCAATATCGTTGATCGTTGGACTTCTCGTTTGTGATGATGGTTTACCGGTTTTCTTAGTTAACAGATTAAATGAAATTTAATTTCTTTATCTGCTATGCTTGACAATAAGACTTAATAACTAGTTTTAAGAGTAATACGATTTCACCATAAAATATGAGCACATTAAAATGCTGCTTTGTGGACATTTGCATCGTTTCAGCGAAAAAGTAATGAAGACAACACATTCCAAAAAAGTCTCAGTCTAAAATAGGATGAGTGAACCAAGAACTATGTTTTATCTGGTTTTATTCAGCTTCATGGTTTGTAGCAGATCATAAAACTGTTTCAAGCTAATTTAGAGATTTATTGATGATAATACTCTTAACGGCGTTTCCTAACATTTATGAAACAATAAAATTGCTTTAGTGAAATATTATTGCGATTGCTACTGATAAATTTATTAACTTCAGTTTTACAACGTAGTCACGATTTAAATAATGTATTTTATAAACACTGGATCTCTATAGAACTGATTTATTAATGTTCGATATGGAAACGATATAAATGGAGTGTGTAGTTTCTTGCAGTGACGTATATAAAGTTGCCTTCAGATATATGAGACATTTACGGAAGTAAAAGTCAGTCAAATGAAGCTTTATTTAAGTGAATGAATCCTAAAGATTTTATTAAACACTTCAGTTAGTGAGTTGATAAACTTATTATAGTTGTTAAAATCCCAGACTTATTTGTTTTAAATTTTTAAGGGATTAGTTTAAATATTTATGTTTTTAACGTTTAAAAAACAGATTAACTGTTAATGTGGATAATTTGTTTTATCCTTAAGTTTAACTGCTGAATAAAAAAAGAGGTTTTGCCAAAAATGAGAATGTAGTGGATGAATAATTTTACATATAAGTAAATGTATCATGCAAAAATATTTATTTATAAAACTAAAGTACTCTAGAAGAGCTAAATAATTATATTAACTAAGTTGATTGGAATATAACTCTTTTAATTATGGCCCAGAAATATTTAAATCACTGAAATACAATGCGTAGATATGAATAATAACAAACTGACCATTTATATTTTCTTCACTTCAAAGTTGATTTACTTCGAAGTAGATAAGATCAAAAACAGTAGATGTATGAATGATCGAAAATGAAGTGAAAATATCATGTGACTTCAAATAGTTTCAGATTAATTAAAGAAAAGATGATTTATAATTCGTACTGATTAATGACTTTGTACCTGTTTATAAAAATAGCCGAAATTATATTCACTTTACGAATAAATAGGAAATTAAAATGTACTGTACTAAGCAATATATCATACAAAGATAAATACAGTTTAGTATTTAACTAGAAACTGTACAATATTTTGGACGAACGTCATGTAACTGTCATCGTCACACGATTGAAAATGAAATAGTGGTCATTTTAAAGTAGATAACAACTACTTATTTTGTATTGTTTAAACAAAGCACACATAGTTTGTTTAAATTTTAATGTTGTAATAATTCAAATAATTTCTTAATGTTTTGTAAATGAATAGCGAAACATGATCTTTTAAATATTATGTTTATTCACAATTAAGTTGATATAATCAACTGTCTACCGATATTTTGTTTTATCATATTATTATACACAAAAATGTTAATTAATGTATCTATGTAAATAAACCATTTATAAAGATCACTGTTAAGTATTCTCCTCATTTTATTTTCTTTAAAGTATTGGAGGCCGTAACCAAATGTGTTCACGATCACGTGCCACTGATGATACTGCTGAAGGGTATATTTCATTTAGTTAGTGGATACTCACTCTTTGATATGTAGAGACTTTGCATGAATACATATCTCACAGATCCATGGCTGGAAGGATCATAATGATAATACTACGCAGCAGTAATAATAACCACAAAAACAATTTGCTAATGATAAGTTCGATCATAATGTTTGACCGAATTTTTAAAAACATAATGATTCAGGAGTTGTGAAGATTATTATATCAACTAGTCATAAGTGCAACTAAGTGTTAAAAAGTTAAACAGAACAACCCTTGAATAACATTCCATATCCATCCATTTGGTACTGACAGAATTACACGTTGAATGCATATCGTAAGTGATATTCTGATAATAAAAAACTTATCCCATAAGAGTATTAGCTAAACTGTATGACTAATAACAGTTTTTATTTCGTCAAGCTTTTATGCTAGATACCACTACAAAAAATTTCTAAATAGCACTTATTATTGGCAATCTTTAAGCTTCGTTCACTAAATTTAGTTCATAACAATCACATTTACGATTTTTTTTTATTAGTACAGTTCACTGAATGGCTCAAGTAATTCATAGAAAGACAAATTTTACTAATGATTTCAAAACATCATAGAAACAAAGATCACCGTCAACGATGAAGCTGTACACAAGTTAAAGGTATACATTACAAAATTAAGTTAACAACGAACCCATAGAATTGCCAGTAAAATACACTAATGTATTTTGCTTTGTTCACTGAAATATATGAACAATAATTTTACAGATTAAGGATAGCTCAAATAAGAATTCAATGCAATTAATGCGGTTACTAACTTTGTATCGATGGAAATCGCTTTTTTCTGATAATTGATGAATACTTTCAGAAATCTCTATCTCTATAGTTATTTACAGTTCGATTATTTGCTAATTCTTTTGCAATCAGGATATGAAGTAGCTCAATTGTTTGTCTTAACATTTTAATTCCCGGACCAGCTTATATTACTATCACTGATAGAAAGTAATGTTAGGATCCTAATTTTCTAATCTAAATCATTTGATATATTTTTTTAATTAATTTTATCTTCGTTTTAGTTATAAGAAAAGATAATTATCAAACAAAAGGATTGCCTACTGACAGGGGTGATTGAAGTTTATGTCAGTTTGATCTTTTCCACATAAGTCTTGAAAATATTGACAAAGATATCAAGTTGTGATCCGTTTCTGGTGATCATATCAACCAAAAGTTTTATTCATATAATACTACATTATATTTTGACAGTAGATGATTTTAAGTGATAAAGTGACTGCTTTGCTTTATTTTAGGTATATTTGGAACATTTTGTTATGATTTATAGACAGACTATGGTCGAGAGTATAATAACTGATAAAACCAATGGAGAATATTAAACTATTATATAAAACATAGACTAAGACAAAGCATTTAAATATGAAGTACCATAAATACGTTATAAGTAGTGAAGCTTTTTTAAAATTTGCGAACATAGGGTTTGCTTTTTCAATAAATTCCCATCACTGCACATCCCCAAAACCCATTGAAATTGTTACTGTAGGTTAAAGATCTTTTATGGGTGTGGTCACAATACTTATGCTGTGAATGATTGAAGTGCTGAGGTAATTTATCAACTAATACTTTCACCAATGAATGCCAGTTCAAGATGTCGGGACTGGATTGTAAAGGTGATAGTTTCGAAATTTGTTTATTGTATAATCTTCATGATTCAACAACCGCTATAACCATCGTATGATGTGCTTACGAAATTGTACAGTTTATGCTTCTAAGGCAGTTATTGTCGTTCATTAACTGTTTGTTAACACCAAGTAAACATGTAACAATAATTTCTGGTTCCGATAATGTTTCCTAAATTGATTAGAAATTCATTACCTAATTATAAGAAAGATAAATGACAACAAATGAATGGTTGATAAAGCAAACTTGTGATGTTTTTATCGTAATTTAGTTAGCAATAAACAACTTAGAAATGGTACAGTGATGCATTCTTCGAAGATGTTGTGTTTTTATAAGTTCATCGAGTCTAAGTTATCAGGATGATGAACTAAATGGTTGTAGTATCGATAATATTAGAAATAATTAGGAATAAATTAAAGAAAAACAAAAAGTATTGAATGATTTTCAAACTCGGGATTTAGGAAAAGAATAAAGAAAGAATACATCTCCCTGATTGATGCTGCTTCTGAACCATTTTGCATAATGATGTCTTCTAACCGAAAGGTAGATTTGGTTCTTAAGCTCTTTTAATAACCCCCAGGCTAGATCTACACAGCAACTTAAACAAGAGAGAAAATTCGCGAAATATGAAAGAAAACGCTTTAGTTCAAAGGTTCGTCGCTGTACAGAAACTCTAGGGTTTTTATAGTGTTTTAGATGACCTTTGGTTTCCGGAAAATCCTGGAATGCTACTAAACATAGTAGTAGTATAATCATCCAATCAGAAATTCAGAATGTAACTTTCCACTTTCTAGATGTTTCTGGAAAAACTTCCAGTAGATGCTGATTGGATAAGGTGCTTCTCAGTGTTTTCAAAGCCTTTTTGGCTGTTTTTCGAATAGTCTTCTAGATCTCTTCAACACATAACTTCCCGATCTAACACTTACGACTGTTTATTCAATATTTATTACAAAGCAAATTATTGTTTGTATTGAATTCTATCCTGTTCAAAAATAGAAAATGTGATTATGGTTGTCATAGTTTAAAGCAATAAAAATTCTGTTAGAATAATGTATTGAATATAAATAAGCGCTAACAAGATCAGAGTCAGAGAAAAATAATTTTACCCGAATTATCATGATTTTTCGTTTTCAAATATTTTTGTGAATACCAAAATTAGATGAAATTGAAATTCGAAGAAGCAAATACTTGAGTTACTATTTATTCATCGGTAAAACAATAACAAACGCGATAAAAAAACCTAACTAACCTGTAGTGTTTGATTAATTTACAATACTTTTGTCATAGCTCATTCAATGTCAAAACATTCAGAATAGTGCTCATATAGAAACTAAAGTTATAGTAGTAAGTTCTATTATAAACAACCTATAAACAAGAAATCTTTTTTTCTTTTCATTGTTCAAAAGCAGTTACAGGTAATATAATTTGCAACAAAAAAGGAACAGTAATATTATAGTATACAAGGCTTACCTCTTTTTTGAAAATCATTAACCAGTCCAAATGTGAAAACCACTTGTGAGATTTAATATCCTGAACACCATTTCTCAAATTACCAAATCGTCGTGTTAAATCAGATTGAATCAAATTACGCAAAAGATCTTTCAAATCTGAACTGAAGTGAGAGGGAAATTTATACTGAAAGTAAAGTAAGAATGAATATTAAGTTTTAATGGCAAGAATGATTGATATGTGCTTCTAATTCTTAATTTAAACGGTGACAACCTTCGTAAATTTTGAAAAGTCAATCAACATATCTTAAAATTCTCTTGAATTTAATTACAATTACAATAAGAGATAATAGAGTATTCAAAGCAACCATTGGTCAAATGATCAACTGGCTGTAAATTCATAAAGCTAGAGTTTACAAGTTTCTGTGTATGACTAACAAAAGTATAAAACTATTTAAAAAAAGGTATTTTGTAAAGAGATTTCGCGTTTAAAATAACTACGCAATTATGTACTGGAACATATACTTGAATCTGATCAAATTTTTAGACCTAAGTAATATTAAATCTACAAAGCTGAATAATTTGATGTAAATGGAATGGAAGCAGAGCTCATAATTAGGTGGTAGAAAGTTCAGTCACTTTAACTAGTGAATTACTACTCATTGTGATTAAATATAAAGCCACTAGAACACAATGAATAAAGATACTTAGTTCAAACAGAATTAACTCATTTAATTTTATATCTTTTGTTAGTTAACAAGTTTGTAATTTGCACGTTTCATTGGAAACGATTATGAACAGTGCATAAATGTAAGAGTTCGGCATTTGATGAGAATAGGAATATTATGTGAAACGCTATACCTCAAAAATCATGAAACGAATATATTTACGTGTACATCTATGGATCTGCTTTATAGGTTTTATGAGGAATCATTATGCAGTTATTAATCTGCATAAGAATCGAAATGTTAAATTTGAAACTGATGTTACTTGAGAAAATGAAAATTAACAAAAACTGGCTTTATGTTCGAGTTCAAAGGGTGAAATTCTTGACATTTAGTTGACTCTTTGAAACAATATACTAACTAGACTGTACAATAACTGAACTAAGCTCCAGCTAACTATAATGTATAGTTCTTTATTTAAGAGACCGATCCTAAAACTCTTTTGACCAAACGCAAATTCTTATTTCTATTATCCTATTATTTAGCTGATAAGACGTAACTTTTTGTGTTGATGCAATTACTTTCCAAGCTCATCACGAATATTAATGAACCCATGTTAACATCTAAAGGGGTAAAGACATGAATATTGCATAGTCTTAATATAACAAAAAATATCAAAACTCATTTCGGTAAATAAACATAACACTGTAGACGGCTTGATATAGCATACTAAATAATATATATAAGTACATAAATAATGGTTTAACAAAATCAGACAGAGGAATGCTAATGAGATACATTTATATCAGTATTCTAGCGCAAAATATCAGTTCATATTATTGAACAAAAATTGACAAATTAAGAAGTGAGATAAAATATCATAAGACCGACACTTAGTACACTACTCGTAAATGTTTTTGATCAGATAGCACTAAATATGTTAATCATTAATGAGTTTTATGACAAAAGTTTATTGTTAAACAATCACATTCGACAGTTTTATCAAATCTACAGAACAATTCGTGAATAGCTTTAATGGAGCTCGAAACAATGAAAACATACATCAGTAAATGTGATGAAAGTCTGGAATACCTAATATTATTATTACCTATTTTAGTTAAGTAAGGTAATGATTAAAAAATATTGGCCACTGAGTGCCTGTTTTTTAATGTCATAGAATGCCTCAGAATTGCATGGTTACCCTGAATATGTACTGAATATTTAAATGAATATCATACATGCATTTATCAAAATAAATATATCTAAATAATTGATTTGACTGAATTCGTAAGTGAAACTAACTTATCAGGGACAGAACAGTAACAGAAAATATTAGTACACATATTTATCTAATTTTCTCAAAAACTATGAATCAACCACTGGTAATAAACTAAAGCAATAAACTGAGAATAAACTCAACTACATAAAAAAGACATCAAGAAACAGCCTTCAGTTGCAGTTCGTAATTCAGCCCAATTATTTTCATCTGTTTCTGTTGTATTAATTTCGGTTTTTGACTTCCTGAATATGTCTTAACATTAACACAATAGTGTTTAAAACAATTTTTAAAATATTTATGAAAAAAATAATGGCTTAGTCCAAGTAGAAAGTAATTTTGATTATTTTGACAGACATCTGCTATTAGGTCAATAGGATAGACCTAGAGTAACAATCTACGGGTCAAAGATTGTTTGCAAATATAGTTAAGTTCGATTAGTGAAGGTTTCTGGTGGAATTCAGTGACATTCGATCCTTGAAAACTACTATGTTTATATTTATTGAGATAATATATATTTTAATGAATGTTACAAATTTTTTAAATATATGAAAAGTATGTTGGTCAATACTTTATTTTTCTTTCAAAGAAAGTAATAAAACCTTATAAAATCGATTTCAAGTAGATAAACATCTTTAACTGTCAAAGTCAATGGATTCGAGGTGAACTTTTAAATTTAAATAAAACCCTTTTTCATATACTTCGTTTATTTTGATAATAAAACACGATTAATCAAATATCAGATTTCGTGTAACATGAGACATTCATTTTTAATTCTCTATATACACTTTTTCGAGATTGTGAAAAACAAATTCTAAGATTATGTCCATATTTGGTACTTTACTATCTAAAATAAAATTTACATATTTTATCGTAGAACAATTAAAATGAATTACTCTGTTTTGTCGCATTTGCTAAACGAGACGATATATGATTATCTTTGTTACAGAAATATAGAATTACTCAATGAATTTTAAAAAAAATTTGGCAGTTCAAAATATTCTGTAATTAGGAAATTGCTAGTTATCTGGACCATGTAATATGTTTTTGTTATTGTACATAAAAAGATTTTGCATTCATATATTCAATGAGTAAAAAGCTTTTTCACTTCATTCTAATCTGTTGCAAAGCTTTCAACGTGTTGTCTTCATCTAATTTTGGCAGTCTAAATACAGTGAGTTTTGAATGTCGGAAACATCGTCGTGTTAAAAGTACTTTGTTGTCAATGAACATCCATAACAAGGTTTAATTACCGCTATAATCAAATCTTCTAAACTTTAGGTAATATATATATATATATATATATATATATATATATATATATAGTGAGCAAAAACATAATTGATTTGCAAAAAAACTTATGTTTAAATTATGCAGTTCGAATGGAAGTAAATTTCGGAAAAGGTTTCTTGTATTCATGTAGTTTAGTGTAAATTATAAAGATTTTATTGCTACGCTTTGAAAATTTGAAGTTGTTTCGACAGCGAACTGTAAGTGATTTGATAGCAAACTGAGTAGCAGTTAACTCACAATGCATTATATCAGATTTTATGAATTAACAAGTTTTTCAAACCAGGTTCATCCATGTTTCGTCGGAACAAAAAGCCAGCTTCTATATTAGCCATTTCATAAAGTTTAAAATTCCACGCCGTCATTCAAGAAGTATGTTAAGGAAGCCATTAAATTTGTAGCTAACGTGCTCTTATATATACAAAGCGTTTTTAAAATTAACGTTCATTAGAATATGAACAAAATCGTTCGGATGAAAAACAATGAATATATATCCTTAGTGATCATTTAATCCTTAACCGGTTTTTTTCTGTGAACAACTTTTTTTCTTTTTGTATGTCATAGATATCAGATGAGTTAACTTGGTTGTAGCATACGAAATTGTAACTGCTTTATTAACTTAATTATATGTCTTTCATAGAAATGAGGCCTCGTAGTGCCATCTGTTGCACTAGTAGATTAAAACAACCAAAATATATTTTTAATTTTGTTAAAAACTAATTAAAATATACAACATTCAAATCCCTTAAATGAACCTTATCTATGTGAATTAATTCAGGAAGTTGACAATAATTCATGAATGGATTTACTAAGCATCACATTTTATTAACATCGATTTAAGGGAAGTAATGGAGAAAATCGTCATCAGATATAACAGGAATCAAAACTCTGTACTAAGTGATGCTTTATTACATGTATGCTGCATAATAACTAAGTAAAAAAGTAGGTCAACAACTTAAGTAATAATGTTTGTTTAATATTTCTTTGTGGTTTTTCTATTTTCCTTTGGTGATTTTTTGACAAGCAAATAATGTATCCAGGTTTCCCTGGTGGTCTAGCTTCAATTGACTCACGCTTTCAACTATGAAAATACTAAATCTCCACAAAGCCCCTTCCGATAAATAATATATCGATTGAAAGCATTAAGTTTCCACTTGTTGATAGATGCATTGTCATAAACGGTTACTTGACAATTGAATTATTAGTCCAAATAATGAGAAATTTACTTAAGTTAGAATTGAAAACCAAATAATTATTTTATTTTAGATATTCTAGCCTGAAACATTTTGTGCTTGGTTGCAGTTTACGTGTTTTTAACCCATTCAACCTACTTGTATTAAGTAAAGAATCACTTTCATTTTCTTCGTTCATGAGAATCCCATCGATTCGTGTTATACGCTTGACTGGTAAATATTTTGCCTGTCAAATAGTTAATACGTTGTTGGATAAACAAACAAACGTATGCCAGAAGCGTCTTCGTAATCAAGTATTTTAATCTATTGTGTTCAGTTTATAAGAATACAAAACACGAATTCAGCGACTTGTTAAGAATAACCGCATACGTTTATTATTTGATCACGCAAAGAATTAAGAAATCTAAGTCTTCACTTATGTAGTAAAAATCAGAATAAACGATTTCAAATGACCATTAAGGTTTCATTTATAATGCCAATTTCATTGTTCTGTTAGATTACCGGATAAAACTTTTCCAAAGACATTAAATAAAAAAGTGAACATCACAATATAGTTTAGTTAGGTAGGAAACATGTGTAATTCCTATTGTGGAGCTATGAGGCTGTTGTGTAATAAAAGTCTATGAAAAATAAGTCTAAAGAAAGTTTCACTTAAAACCCAGTATATCTGATGAATGCATATAAATCTTTGCTTAATTCACATATTAATCAAGGGATTTTACATCTAACTGTTCGATGGCTGTAGGCAATTAGTCAGAAGTTA